TCCAGGCTCCCAGTGCTGCCCCTCACTCCTCTGCCTGCTTGGATTTGGGTCAGGATCCTGCATTTCTGCTCCCCAGCCCCCAAAGTGGCTCTGCATCCCCTCCCTGCATCCCTCAGTGCTGGCCTGCACCGGAGCATCCAAAGTGCAGGGGTGGAGAGGCCCCAGCTGGAGCCCAATGGACATTTCCCAGACAGTGGGAAAGGACACCAGGGCTCTGAGCAGTGTTCCCTGTCCCCTCAGGACATCTCCATGTCCCCCAGCCCTGGTGGGTTCTGCTGCTGAGATTTGTTTGGGAGGGAGCAAAGAAGCCATTTTCTGCCCAAAACCACAGGAAAAGGAGAGGAAACACCGTGGCTGCTCACTTAAAGTATGTTAACAATGTAAATTAGGCAGGAGTGCTCCTGCCTGGGTTTTCTTCAGCTCTGCCCAGCAGGGATGGAACGGTTTGACCTGTCCTGGCTGATCCTGGAGTGCATCCAGGTGCTGCCATTCCCTGCAGGGGCGACTGGAGCCGCTTTGGCAGAGCCCCTGGCATGGGCACGGGGGCCAGGCTGGTGTCAGGAGCAGGGTGGGGTGGTGCCAGGCAGGACTGAGCCCATTAGAGCCCTGACTCCAGCGATGATGGGTGGCACACCCAGGAGAGCTTGGTGGAGTTCAGCAAATCCCCACTCCAGAGCATGAGCAGGGCTGGAGCTCCTGCTGCCATGGTGGGACACCCTGAGGGACACCCTGCCTGGCCCAGAGGGTCCCCCCAGCCTGGGAAGAGGTTTGGGGTGACCCCTGTGCTGAAAGCTTGGTGACATCGTGGCCAAGGCACTGCAGGAGCCACCAGGATCCCAGGGTGATGGTACCAGCCTGGCCTCTGGAGTAGCTCTGTGTGTGTGTGTCCTCCTCTTCCTCCTCCTCTTCCTCCTCCTCTCCTGGAGGACACAGGAGAGCTGGTGTTCACACTGGCACTGGTGTGGAATATATTTTTTTTTATTCCTGAAATAAAGCCCCAAGTGGCTTTTGAGGCATTTTAGCCCATCGTGGGCAGGAGTTTGTGGGGCAGAGGGGCTGGGGACAGGCCAGCAGCGTGGCAGTGGCACCTGGGGTGTGGAGGGACCACAGTGTCCCTGCAGCTTTCTGGGCTGGGGCTGAAATGCCCTTTCTAACCCTGGCCCTGCTCAGGGTCAGGCTGAAGGTGCAGGTTGGTTTTGTGAGTCCCTGGCCTTGGGGACAGCGGTGACACTGGGCTGTGGGTGGCAGGGGACATCCCTGTCCTGGGCTGTGGCTCAGCAGTGGCAGCAGGAGGGTCTCTGGCGCTGGGGGTGTGAGCTGGGGAGGGGGTTTTGTAGGGGCAGGTGGGTTTGGTTGGGTAACAGAGCTTTGGGGGTGCTTCTGCTGCCCCTCAAAACCCAGGAGGGGAGTTTGGCTCCTTTTGGTGCTGCTGGGAGTGGATTCTGCTCGCAGGGAGGCTGCCACGTGCTAATTAACGGTGTGGAACCCCCTGGTTAATCAGAGCTGGTGACATTTGTGACACCAGCCCCAGGGAGCAGCCCTGGTCACTGCAGGGACCTGCCCGGGGTGGCACCCATGGCACGGGGTGGCACAGAGCCAGGGCACCCCATGGGCCATGGGGGAGCTCTGGGGAGCCCCAGGACTTTGGGCTTTGGCTCTGGAACACCCAGAGTGACCCCAGGTCACCCCATGAGCCGGGGGAGTGTCCCTGAGGGACCCCAGTTCCCATCAGCAGCACTGGAAACTCTTAAGGGAAATAAAAAAATCAGATGCTGCAAAGAGTTGCCATGAGATTGTGGGAGCTGGCAACACCCAGTCAGTTTTTTTAATTTTACTGAAAGCGTTTCATTGTTATTTTATGTCTTGTTTGTGCGTTTTTAAATGGACCAGCTCGAGCTGCGCTTCCGAAACCTTTTTCCTTGGAAAATGCAGCTGGGCTGCCCCAAGCTGCAGCTCCAGGGATGGGGTGTGAGTGCAGGCAGCATTTATTTATCTGCACAGACATTCCTGGGCATGGCACAGACAGGGATGGAGTGTGCCCTGCTTCATCCAGCTCATCAAATCAGTGGCTGCTGCAAGAGCCTGGATTCCTGGGAGGGGAAAAAAAATAATTCCTTTTGCAATTTTTTTTTTTTTTTTTGGGTGAATGTGGGGTAATTTTGGCTTTCCGAGACCAAAAAAACCGAGTTGAATTTTGTTGCTTTGCAGCATCCATGTGGATGTAACTGAATCCAGGCTGGCTGTGAGAGGCAGCTCAGGCTTCTCTCTGCAGGCAGGTCCTGGAAAACCCAGATAACGCTGCTGGAACTTGGAGCTGGGCTTTCACAAAGGCCAAATCCCCGCCGGGAGCTCGGGAAATCTCTTCCCAGAGCACAGCCAGGGAAAGGCTGGCACGGCTGAAAAGGAAAAGAAAGCGAGAGGAGCTGGCAGGAGAGGCAGGGCTCCGTGTCCTGGGGGTGTGAGCAGGGGCCGGGGCAGCGGCAGCCTCTGCTCCATCCCAGAGCGGGGCTTTGCAGAGCTCAGCTCCAAAAGCTGTTTTTTCCAGCAGCCAAGGATTGCGTTAGCTGGGAGGTTTAAGAGCCCAGCAAAAAGCCCCAGATCATCTCTGCGGGAGGATAAGCAGTTTTCCCCGAGGATTTCTGCCCAGAACAGATGCTGAATCGGGATTATTTTTTTATATGTATGTATTTAAAAATAAATGCCTTGAATTCATTCCAGTTAAGGGCCTTCAATTCGAGATTCTGCAGTGGGAGCAGCCCATGGAGGACGTGGCACAAGTCAGCAGCCTCCCAGCCAAAGGGAGCCTGCAGTGAAGCTTTTCCCTCTGTGGGTTATTTAGTGAATAATTTGATTTCACTGCTGATCCCAGGGGATGCCCTGCAGGAGGAAGGACTGACCCTGCCAAGGGATCCCCACGCTGGGACAGCACCTCCAGCACAGATTTTGGGCTGATTCTCAGGGATTCCTCTGTGTTTTCACACTGCTGCAGGAGCTCTGAGCCTGTACAGATGGAGCGGGAGGAAAATGGTTTTAAAAGGTGCTTTAAAAACCCAAATAGGTGATGCCAGGTGGATCTTGGTGATCCCAGCTGCCCTTTGGTGACCCCAGAGGTGCTCCCCTTGTCCTGCCACACAGAGCCCCATGTGTCCTTTAAGGTCACTCGAGTCCAGCCCTCTTGGGCCAGTTGAATCATTTCCTGTTTTCTTCAGTTTTTGAAGAACTCCGAGGCAGGCTGGAAACGTTTGCAGATAGGGTGAACTGGCTGCTGCGGGGCCATGGGAAAAGTGCAGCAGGGTCAAACGTGCAGAGGGAGAGGATTGGGGTGCAGGGTGTGTGTGAGCAGGTAGAGGAGGGGCTTGGAGCCCCATCCTGGTTTGGGCTGTTCACTGATAACTTTTCCCCTTTAAGAACCGGTCTGGGATTGAGATATCAACACCACGAGGTGGTTTTTAATAAAAACTCATTTGCTAAGGGAAATTGTAAAATTCAGCAGGTTTGAGTGTACCCCCGTGCCTGTGATGGGCACTGCTGGTGGTGGCCTTTGTGTGGGAGCAGGTTTTAAGGAATTTGGTGGTTAAGGTGCCCCTCCTGAGGAAAGTGAGAATCCTGAGTGATGGACTCTGGGGAATTCTGCTTGAACAGGGAGATTGGACTTGCATGACCTTCAGTGGTTCCTCCCCACCTGAGCTGTTCTGTGTGTAAAGGCTGGTCATTCTGCATCCCTGTTTCTTCCTGGGATTGGGCTGGTCAGGCTGAGCCCTGATCCACATCTGTCCCCCTGGGCATCACAGCCACAGCCAAAATTGCCCAGAGCAGCTGGGGCTGCCCCTGGATCCCTGGCAGTGTCCCAGGCCAGGCTGGACAGGGCTGGGAGCACCTGGGACAGTGGGAGGTGTCCCTGCCATGCAGGGGACTGGAACAAGGTGATCTTTAAAGTCCCTTCCACCCCGTCTGGAATTCTGTGCACATCCCATCCCCCAGCACAGGATCCCTTGTAGTGATCGCTCTGTGTGTCCCCACTTTGTTCTCCTCTGTAAAATCCCTCCTTGAGGGGGATGAAGGATTTGGGAAGTTTGGTGTTTCATGGTGCCTTTCAGCCAAGAGAGGGAGGAGGAGAAAATTGCTGCCTGGATTTTTAATTTGGAGGGAAAGGCTGTAAGAGATTTCCCAGTGAATGTGATCCCAGACAAATCCTTTCCGTGAGCAGGCAGGGAGCAGTGGTGCTGCTGCTGAGGGAAGGTTAAAACTCATCCGGGGGGGATGTTTTCCTTAAACCCTGGGTGAAAATGAACACCCAGAATCTCCAAGGTGCCTTTTGCAGAGATGTGGTGCTGTGCCACGAGCTGGAGCTGCCTGGCACGAGGGCTGCTGGTGGGAATGCAGTGAAGAACCTGGAGAAAACCAGGCTTTGTTGCTCCCTGGCCACCCCAAGGAGCCACAAAGCGTTTTCCATGGCATGAGGAGGAGCACTGAGCTCCTCACGTGTCCCTGTGCTGTTCATCCTGCCAAGCTCAGCCTTCCCCAGCTGCAGAGAGCTCTTGGATGTTCGGGTTCATCCTCCTCGCTGGGAGGGGATGGCACCAGTGGGTGACACTGCTGTCATCGAGGCCAAGGGAGTGGCACTGCCTTAAATACCTGTCTGAGGTTAATCCCAGGTCTGAGTGAACCTGGGCAAAGCACAACAGGGCCTTGGTTCCTCCCTGCCCGGGGCTGGGGCTCGGTCCCAGCCTATGGGTGAGTTAATCTGAGCCACTCCTGCCAAAGGAAATGCATTTTTTGTTTTGTTTTCATTTTTCTGGAGTGGTTTTGGACAATTGGGTTTCGAAAATAGACTCAATGAGAGGAAATGCATTTGTTAACCTGTCCCCAGGCTGAGGACAGGGGGCAGATACGGCGCTTCCTCGGGGCTTTAGTGGCGCTCGCATCTGCCCGAGAGCCGCCCCGAAGCCATCCATTAACCCCCGTGCCCTGTCTCCCCCACCCTCTCCTCCATGAACCAGGATTTAAACGGCCAGAAGGAGCTGTGCCCACGTCTGTGCCACCTGAAGAAAGGCCCCAATGGCTACGGCTTCAACCTGCACAGCGAGAAGTCGCGGCCGGGCCAGTTCATCCGCTCCGTGGACCCCGACTCGCCCGCGGCCCGGGCGGGGCTGCGGCCCCAGGACCGCCTGGTGGAGGTAACGGGGGGCAGCAGCACGGGTGGGACCCCGGGCGAGCTGGGAGCACCCCCAGCCCACCCCCTTCCCCATCTGATCCCCCCATTCATCTCACTGGGAGCGCCAAGGCTGGCGGGGCTGTTCAGCTCTGGGGGCTCTGCGTAGAATTGCACAGTGAAATCTGGAATTGTTTAGGCTGGGAAAGCCCTCCAAGACTCCTGAGTCCTGCCATTCCCCAGCACTGCCAAGGCCACTTATGTCCCCAGGGTGCTGTGGTGGCTCTGGCTGGCACCGAGCAGGGCTGGGCAGGTGACTGTGGGCATAAGGCCAGGCTGGTGCTGCCCAGCTGAGCTGATGTCCTGCCAGGGAATGCTTGGAAAAGCAGGAGAAGAGGTTTTGCAGAGATTCTAAGACACAAAACTACGAAAGATGGGGGAGAAGTGTTCTTGGAGGCATCTTGCTGGTTACCACGTGCTGGACAAGACCTTTTGTCCAAGATGGGGCTGGGAATTGCCCTCTCTTTGGCCTGTGGGTTGTGTTGTTCCTGGAGGAGGAGGTTCCCCCATCCAGAGCCGCCTGTCTGGGCAGAGGGACAGGCAGAAACACAGCAGCCATCACCCCTTTCCCTGTGGGAGCACATGGATATCCCCTGCTTGGGCTGTTCCCCAGGAGTTTGCACCCCAAAACCACCCCACAGAGCTGTGGCCCTTGCTCCTGCCTCAGAGCAGCAATGGGATTGGCACCCCTGGCAGAGTGTGAGCTGGGGAAATGCTGAGAGCAGAGCACTCTCCTGCTTTCCAGGCCCATGAAGAATGATTCCCCAGGCACTGGGAGCTGCTGCCTCTTCCCAGCAGCTGAAAGTTTAATGCTGGGAGCAGCGTAGGGCCGGGGCACGGGTGGCAGTGGCTGGGTGGTGTCACATCCAGGGGTCCTGTTATTTATTTATGGGCTTGGCCCAGGGCCTGGCACACACAAAGCAGCTCGGGGTGAGCTGGCGAGCTCAGAAACCCGATCCCCTCCCTGCCTGCTCTTTGGGGCTGGCATAAATATTTGATGCCCCCCAGCCCTGTGCCAGGGTGGGGGAGAGCAGCCCTAGGCATGGATTGGGGTGAGCTGGAGTGGCAGGACAGGGATGGAGCGAGGCTGTGAGCTGGCAGCTGGGCTGGCAGTGCCTGGAATGAGGGACAAATCCTGGAAGAGGTTTCTTCTCATCCCAGCCCTTGCAGCTGTGCCCTGAGGAGCAGGGGGAACCTGCTTCCCTGCAAAGGGGATCCCAGAGGTTGGAGCTCTGGCTCTGCTCATCCCCTTGGATGAGGCCCTTCCCAGCAGGACAAAGGGTGATTCATTGCCACCGAACAATGTCCTGAGTCACCATTGTCCCCTCCAGCAGGAACAATCGGGATCACGTTCCCTGGAGGTCCTGGGAGGGGTGAATCCCTGCCCCAGGACTCGCCCATCAGGGGGGACAAATTTCCATGGCAGAGGGTGAAGGATGACACAGGGGTGCAGCCAGCCCCGTGTCTGTGCCCACAGGCACTCCGAGATCCAGGGCACATCCAAGGGGAAGGCTGGGTTTGACAGCACCAGAGGCTGTTGGTGGGCTCTGGGGCCCGTGGTTGCCCTGGATGTGTTTGGGATGCAGCCAGAGGCGTGAGGTAACAGGGAAGATGCTCTAGCAGGGCACTGGGGGATTTAGGAACCCCCCCATGCTTGGCTGGGGAGGGGGAAGGAAAAAGGCTGTGGCCTTCCTATCACCCCAACAGGAATAAAGAAAGGCAAATGCCACCCTTAGGGAAAGGGGGTGTGTGGGAGGCAGGAGCAGCCCACGGGTGTGGGTTGTGATGCTGTGGCTGTGCAGGTGAACGGGATAAACGTGGAGGGCCTGCGGCACTCGGAGGTGGTGTCCCACATCAAATCCAGGGAGAGCGAAGCCAGGCTCCTGGTGGTGGACCCCGAGACAGACGAGTACTTCAAGAAGCTGGGGGTGACCCCCACGGAGGAGCACACCAAAGGTGAGACCTTCCTTTCCCAGGGTGAGCTCCGTGACTCACGGCGCCGCGGGTGGGACTCAGGAGTGAGGGAGAGCCACATTTCCCTCCTGCCTCATCCCTCGGCAGTTTCCTGAGCACCACCCAGCTATTTATAAATGGTGAGAATACACCCTCAGCCAGCCAAAAAGCACTTTGTTGCTTTTACACGGTGAATAACTAACTCTGATCTCGCTGCCACCAAGGGGCTGAGGTGTGCTGGGGTTTGGGGGCAGCCTTCAAAGCCAGGTTGGACAGGGCTGTTCCAGTGGAAGGTGTCCCTGCCCGTGGTGGGACTGGGTGAGCTTTAAGGTCCCTTCCAAGGCCAAGGACTCCACGATTCTCTGATTCCCTGATGGCTCTGGAGCCTGTGGGCACCTGGAGAGTCCCCGTGCAGAGGGAAGGGCTCCACGCCGGCTGATCAGACGTGGCTGGGGCAGCAAATGTTTTCCAGGCTGCTGAAACCTGGCAGGGAAAGCTGCTCATCCACCGCCCAACCTGCCCCACCAGGGCTGGGGCCAGGCCTGCCAGCCTGCTCAATGGGCAGCTCTGTTTCCCAGCACAGCTGTTCCTTATCTGATCCCCGGGATGCTCAATGGGCAGATTTGTCCCCAGAAATGGGTCAGGCACTGCTGGGGAGCCACAGGGTGTCAGATGCTCCGAGGAGGAGCCGGGGCTGGCTGCTGGCACTGCCATAAAGGGCTCCTTGTTCCACCAGGGAGGGGACAGAGCCCTGGGGAGGATGGCTGGGGGCTCCAGGTCCCGATTCACCAGGGAGCAGGAGCTGGGTCTGCCTGGCACCTGCCAGGTGTCAAAGGGCTCTGGCAAATTCTGCTGTTTGCTGGGGAAATAATAATTTGCTGGGAGGAAATAATAATTGTCCTATTGAACTGGACTGCTTCGACCTCAAACTGACACTTCCCAAGCCTTGCAGCTCATCCTGAGCACCTCAACCTTTAACCAAATGAGTGGCTTTTAGATTAACTATTTCTAGATATGGCTAATTTGCTTTTGAAGTCCAGTCCCACTTTTCTTATTCCATGTCATCTGAAGCCTTTCATTTAAATAATTTAAAATTTATTATTATACCAGAGACATAAACATCTGTGTGAGCTGACTCTTCTCATACTCTGAGCTTATCTTACTCTAAACACGAGCCCAGCATTCGCTGCAATAAAATATTTAAGGATCCCAAAGCCACACAGAGGTTTTTGCACCAGCACACTCTCAAAAATCACAATTTAGGTTTATTTTTCTGCTTTGCTCCAGAAATCCCTGCAGTCTGCAGTGATGCAGCCCCAGCCAGTCCCTAGGGAAAGCATCCATGCTTGACATGATTCAGTTATTAATCCTGTCCCAATTAACGCATCTGTTAGTCTGGGACAGTGAGACATGGTAATGCCTGGGGTGATGACTTGATCGTGGTGACTTAAATGCATAAAATTTGCCATTGTGTGGGCTATTGTTAGAGTAAATCATTGGAAGTGAGCAAAAAAAAAAAAAATTCCAGAGTGGTTGGAGAGCGGGCTGTGTGCCAGACACTGCTGTGACAACACCATGATGCTGATTCTGATGAAGATTTTTGATTAAAGAACTTAGGAAAAAAAAACTTAGGACCTAATGGTCCAAAAAGAAAAATGAAAAGGGAGTGTGCTGCAGATAGTGGCTATAGAAGGAGGATACTTGGTCCTCTTCCTTGCAGGTGTTTTCTTCTTACCAAAAGGCTGAAGTGGAGTGAATTCAGGGGATCTGGCAGGGATGTGGTTCTAGAAGGGCACAGGGAGAGGGGAAAGGCTTTAGTGTGGGCTGGGAAGCAGCACAGCACAAAGTGAGGGGACAGGATGGGCTGGTGGGGCTGGCAGGGCGATGAAGGTGTGGGTGGCAGGGCGATGAAGGTGTGGGTGGCAGGGGGATGAAGGTGTGGGTGGCAGGGAGGAGGAAGGTGTGGGTGGCAGGGGGATGAAGGTGTGGCTGGCAGGGGGATGAAGGTGTGGCTGGCAGGGGGATGAAGGTGTGGGTGGCAGGGAGTTGAAGGTGTGGGTGGCAGGGCGATGAAGGTGTGGGTGGCAGGGGGATGAAGGTGTGGGTGGCAGGGGGATGAAGGTGTGGGTGGCAGGGGGATGAAGGTGTGGGTGGCAGGGGGATGAAGGTGTGGGTGGCAGGTGATGCTGCTGAGGCAGCAGTCCCAGCTGTGGGTGCTCACTGTGTGTCCCCTGTGTTTATTCTGTCCAGGTGTGCTACCCCAGCCCATGACAAATGGATCTGCACAGACTCAGGTGAGTCCTCACCTGCCCCGGGGATGTGTTGGAGGGACAAGGGTCTGTCCCTGGATGCCCAAGGCTCATTTAGCTCAGCTTTACTGCTGCCTGGTTTTAATTACTCCCCACTACAGCTTTAATTTAGGGGTTGAGCAAGGCCAGTTTCAGCCCCATTGAGTCCCAGGGAGAGAGGAGGAGGTGGCAATGTCCCAGCTGTGGCAGGATGGGACCACGCTGTGCCCGGGGCTGTGGGAGAGCAGCAGCTCTGCTGGGAATCCCAGGGAGCTCCCCAGTGTGCAGGGAACCCTCAGCAGAGCATCCCCTCCCTCCAGGCTCCATTCCAGCCCTGGGGCAGCCCAGCCTGGGCATTTATTGTGTTTAGCTCTGCCTGGCACAGACCACACTGACCTTTTCCTTTCCTCCAGCTGAACGGAGGATCCACATCTTCATCTCACAGCGACCTGCAGAGTCCTGGGAAGGAATCCGAGGTAAAAACCCCAAACTCCTCCTCCTGTCCCTTTTCCACCCTGCTGTGGGTTCAGTCCTGCTCACAGTGCTGGGCAGTGCTGAGGTTTCAGTTTATCTCCCAGACTTGGCTTCACTTGTACCCACCCAGCAACCAAAACCCAGGGTTTTCTCTCATCCCTTGCACTGTGGGGGTTCACTGGCAGCTTCCTGGGCAGTGATTCCTGCTTGGATAGTTTGGGAGGTGAAGGGATGTCTGCAGGATTTGAGGTGCACTTACACTGATGAGCTACAGCAAGGCTGGGGATCCATGAGGAACACAACTGTGAGGTTCAAGTGCTGCTAGCAGGACAGGCTAAAATTTAAAAAAAGCCAATTATTATTTTTCAGTTTGGAGCATGGTGAATTTATCACGGGGTTTAAAGGAAGGGAGGAGTTGTTTTTGGTGGTAGGCTGGGCTGAAGAGGTTTCTGTGGTGTGGCTCAAAACTGGAAGGGGACAAAACTTGTTGGGCAAGGTGAAGTGGCAACAAAAAGTCAACACAAGGCATAGATTGGCATCCTCAGGTGTTAATTATTTAGCAGGGTTTTTTTTTTTTCCTCTTAAAATAAGAAGTGGGGATTTGTATTAAGAAGTAGGGGATTTGCAAAGTGCCCAAAAATTTATCTTTAGTACAAGATTCTGCTATAAATAGAGCAAAGTCTCCATGCAGGTGCCCTGGGGGTCTCTGCCATGCCGTCCCCTGCCCCAGGACACCTGGGAGCAGGAATGTGGCAGCACCAAGAGCTCAGGTGGCCTCTCAGAGCACCCACAGCCCCAAAGCTCTCGGGCAGCAGCTGTGGCCAAGCGCCTGCAAGCTGCCAGTGTCCCTGGGAGCACTGAATAATGCATGTCCTGATGCACTGCTCTGTCCTGGCACATCCATGCCAGGCCCTGTCCTGTGGGGAGCCTTGTGCTGTCCCCCCAGGTCACCCTTGTGTTGGAACTCACAATGTCCCTCAGACATTTTTGGAGGTTCCAGGCCCAGGTCAGAAGCATTTGAGACCCTGACACAGCTGCAAACAGCTGTGATTTTGGGTTTGAGCCATGGGATGAGTTACCAACCTTGCAGGAAGAACAAGAAGTCACAAAAGTTTAGATATTAGAGTAGAAGTAGTCACAAAGTAGAGCCCCCAGAGACACTGTCTGTGATCTCTGTCCATGGGTTCCTGAGCCCTGCCAGGGTCCCAGGGCAGCCAGAGGGAAGCTCTGGATCCCCACACCTTCCTGGGAGGGGTTGTTGGGCACTGGAGTGCCCAGGGAGGTGCTGGAGTGCCCAGAGGAACGCCTGGCTGTGGCTCTGGGCTGGTGCCCAGGTGGGCACGGGGCACAGTGGGGCTGGCTGATCCCGGGAGGGTTTCTAGGCTCGGGGATGCCCCGTGGGCACCAGGGTCTGTGGCAGAGCTGTGGCAGTGCTGTGGCAGTGCTGGCAATGCTCTGGCAGCATTGGCAGTACTGTGGCAGTGCTTTGGCAGTGCTGGCATTGTTGTGGCAGTGCTGGCAATGCTCTGGCAGTGTTGGTAATGCTGGCATTGCTCTGGCAGTGCTCTGGCAGAGCTGTGGCAGTGCTCTGGCAGTGCTGGCAGCGCTGGCAATGCTCTGGCAGCATTGGCAGTGCTGTGGCAGTGCAGTGGCAGTGCTGTGGCAGTGCTGGCATTGTTGTGGCAGTGCTGGCAATGCTCTGGCAGTGCTGTGGCAGTGCTGGCATTGTTGTGGCAGGGCTGGCAGTGCTCTGGCAGTGCTGGCAATGCTCTGGCAGTACTGTGGCAGTGCTGGCATTGTTGTGGCAGAGCTGGCATTGTTGTGGCAGGGCTGGCAGTGCTCTGGCAGTGCTGGCAATGCTCTGGCAGTGCTGTGGCAGTGCTGGCATTGTTGTGGCAGGGCTGGCAGTGCTCTGGCAGTGCTGTGGCAGCCCTGGCAGCCGTGCCCTCGCCCCGCAGGACGGCGACGCCGACAAGAAGGACCCGTTTGAGGAGAGCGGGCTGAGCCTGAGCCCCACGGCCGCCGAGGCCAAGGAGAAGGTGAGGGCCAAGCGCGTGAAGAAGCGAGCGCCGCAGATGGACTGGAACAAGAAACGGGAGATTTTCAGCAATTTCTGAGCCCTGCTGGTGCCGCTCCCTCCCGCCCCAGCTCGGACGTTTCTCAGGGGCCCGCGCCCCGTCCTTCGGTGTCCACGTGAGATGCTTTGTGCTCTGCTCTTCACTGGTTGCTTTTACAAGGCGTATTTTAAAGTCCTTTTTATTTTTATTTTTTATTATTATTGTTGTTATTATTATTATTGTTACTCACCAGCGATTCTCATAAGAAAAATGTGACCAAAGCTCCTTTTCTTGCTTGCTCTTGAGCCCGGCTCCGGCTGCCCGCCGTCCCTTGTTCCTGTGAGAAAGGACTGGAAGAATTTTAACTTTTGTTTCTTACCTGCATCATTTAGGCTTCTGTTACTTCTTTTTTACTTTTTATGTGGGGTGTTTTGGCTTTATGGGTGTCCCATGGGATGCTCGGTGCACTGTGGGAACATCTCATGGCTTGTGGTGGAGGTGCCAGGGACCCCCCCCAGCTCCCCGTGCCCAGCATTAGCTACCCCCACCATGGGAAAATGGACTGTGGCTGGAAATTGTTCGCTGGCTTTGCTATTGAAGCAAAAACATTTGTTTTGTTGGTTTTTTAGATTTTTTTAAATGAAGTCTCATGTGTTTCCAGTTAGTTTAGGAACATGTCCCCCCACCAGCAGCTCCTCCTCAGGTAGGAAAAGCCCATTTTTCACCCCAAACAGCTCTGCAGAGGGGAGAGGGTGGGGTTTAAAAGCAAACCCCAAACCCAAAGGCCACAGCTCTCCCCACCTGCAGCCGTGGATGTGGCAGGAGAAAGAGGAGCAGAGCCACTCCTGCCACACGGAGCACGAAGATGAGAACCACGAGGTGCTACAAAACCCCTTTGGACAGACCTGGAAGTGGGGATGACCAACATCTGCTTCCAGGAGGGAGCACAGGGATGCAGCTCTAACTGAGGCTCGGCGCTGGGGCTGCTCCAGGTCCCACCTGGGCTGGGATTTGGTGTCCCCAGCCCGGGAGTGTCACCGTGGCAAGGACATGCTCCGTGTCCGTGGGCTGTACAGGTGCTGTGATGGCGTGGGCAGCACCTCTGCCTTCCCAAAGCCCACTCTGGGCATTGTGTGTTTAAAGCACTACGGATGAAGTGCATTTAAGCTCTTTGTTGCTGCCTGTGGCTGTGTGGGTGAAGGTGACTCAGCGCTCCCAGGAACCAGAGCTGAGCTCCCAGGGCAGGCCTGGGGCTGCCCCATCCCTCCCACGCTCCAGCAGCGACCCCAGCCCTGCTCTGGGGACACAAAGCCACTTTTCCCAGCGAGCTGGCCACGGATGAGGTGGGAGCACAGAGCTGGGGCTGTGCCCTGCCTCTCTCCAGGATAGAACCCTTGGCTGCTCAGTGTGCAACGGGTGTGGGAACGGCTCTGCACGGATTTCCTAAGGGATTTCCAAACTGTGGAGCTAAAAGGTGCCTTATGCCACCCTCTGCTCTCCTCAGCACTGGGTGTTTGGCTCCCCTGGGCAGCAGCTGGTGCCTGTGGCCTTATGCTGCTGGCAGGAGAGAGTGGAGAGCCTCAGGGGTGAAGGAGATGAGTTCTCTTGATGAAAGTTATCTTTTAGGATTGTTGATGGGCTGAACAGGTTGAAAATAATGACTTTGGAGAGGAACTGGTGCAGGTGTTTGGCTGTGGATGATGAGACGCACTGGGGTGATGGGGGATGTGGAGAGGCTGCCTCCCCTCGGGGCTCTGCCATTAACAAGACACCTCCTCCCCATCCCACTTCGAGCTACCTGCACTCTTTTTGGCCCCCAAAATGCTGTCTTCTCTCTCTGGGTAATGTTTGGGAGGAGCCTTTCTTTTCCATGCTGTGCACGCCGCTTCCCGTGGCCAAACCCCGGCAGTGCCCGGGCTGCGTGGGCAGAGCAGCCCCAGGACAGCCTGGTGCACGTCCCAGAGCACAGACCTGGTGTCAGCACCCCACCTCTCATCCCAGCCTGCTGGACTTGAGGGGGGGAATTCAACAACCTGGTGTAGTGTTGAATGTAGATCAAAAGAAATCAGGTGTGCGAATCCGTGTTGGTAAAATTGAAAGTCTTAATCTCTTAGTCCATGGAAACTGCTCCTGGTTGAAGCATTACTGCATTCATCTTGTTGTAGCTCAGTAGTAATTATTCAGTTCCTGTACATTTTAACTTGGAAAAGAAAAATCAATAAAGTCTAAGGCTGGCAGCAGCATTGCAAACCCACCATGTACACTGTAATGTCAGTAATAAACTCGGTTTGCCATGTACCCAGCACTTATCTACTCCTTCCTCAGCTGCTCAGGGAGCCCAGGGCGGAACTGCAGCCCTTTAGCACATTGTAAACTTCTCTTCCTCTTTCCAGAGGAGCTGGAATTACGCCTTTGAAGCTCCACAATGAAGTCAGCGCTGCCCTTTCTTTGAAGAACAAAACGCAGGGGTGGTGCTGTCCCTCTGTCAGCTCCTGGGGACACAGCCGGGCTCCCGTGGCTCTGTAACCCTTGTGGCACGCACAGAGAGGCGCTGGCTCAGCTCCTGGCCCTGTCCTGCTGCCAGGACCCAGAGGCTGCTCATCCAGGCAGCGATTCCCTCTGCTCCTGCCTTGGCAAGGCTTCAGCTGCACCTCAGAATCCCAGGACCACCAAGGCTGGAAAAGATCTGCAGGATCATCGAATCCACCCTGTGCCCCATCCCCAGAGCACTGAGTGCCACATCCAGGCCTTCCCTGGACACCTGCAGGGGTGGGAGCTCCACCAGCTCCCTGGGCAGCCCCTTCCAGTGGTTAACCACCTTTGCCATGAGGAAATTTCTCCTGCTGTGCAGCCTGGATGTCCCCTGGCACAGCTCCTGTCCTGCTGGCAGCACAGCTGGTTGGGTGGCAGGGCTGGGCAGCTGTGTGCTGCCTGCTCTCAGCCTGGTTCAGCCTTGCTCAGCTCACCCACCTTCTCCTCCCCCCAGCCAGTGTCACAGAAAACCTCGTGGGTGCAAAAAAACCCCTCACCACCTTTATTAAACGAGTATTTACAAGCAGCAGCAAGTCCCCGGGGAAAAAAGCTTTTCTCTCCAGTGACTCAGTGTGGCACAGCTGGGCTGTGCTCAGCCATCCACCCAGGCTGGAGCCTTCAGCTGTGTCCCAGCAGCATTGCTGCCCCTCAAAGCCCCTTTTTCCTCTGGAGAGCTGAGCCATTGCCAGTGGCTGTTCTCTGGAGCTGCTCAGCCCTGTGCCAGGCCCAGCTTGCCCAAGCAGCTCTCCCAAGGCTGGGTGATCCCTCAGAGTCTCGTGGCAGCTGGGCAGATGTCTTGGTTGAGGCACTGGCTGCAGCGAGGCTTCACAGGCAGGCAGGTCTGCTGCCCAAAGCCCACCAGGAGCCAGTTGATCTCCTTCCAGAGGTCCCTGCAGTGAGGGGACAAACAGCACTGGTGCCGTGCAGCTGCTTGGAAGGGGTGAGGAACAGCCTGTGGTGTTATTGGGATCCCTTTCCACTTCTGCTGTTCCTCCTGAGGTGAGTCCCAGCCCTCCCAGATCCCTGCTGAGAACAACCCTCCCAACCTTTCCTGGTCCTGCTGGGCTGGGGGGGAGCAGTGCCCGTGCTCAGGCACGTGCCAGGTGTGGAGATGTCTCTGTACATTCCAGCTGATGTTTGATACTGAAAATTAACCACAGTGAAGGCCAAAATCCAGCCCTGAGCTGAGGCTGCTGCAGCCACTGGCCTCAGCAAGGCCCTGTGTGGAAAAGCTCCTGGCTTGGGTCATGGTCAGCTTGGTAAGGCAAAAATCAGGGATCAAGAGCTCCACTAGTGACTGATCCACCTGACAGCAACACAACCACCACACAGGCGAGATGCTGCTGCTGTAGCTCTGGCAGAGAGGAAACACCTGCAGCTACTGCAGCCCTGGAAGGAGGAAGGAGCCAAAATGCAGCCCCTGAAACCACCCCAAGCAGGGCTTTGTGCAGACATGGCTCCTGCAGCCAGCAGGGACTCAGAGCTCACCTGGGCAGCCACTCCTCCAGTGCCACCCGGGTCTCCTCAGGGCTCTTGGTCTCCTTCTTCACCCACTTGAGCCTGTTTGAGATCCTGTGCACGTGGGTGTCCACAGCTGGGGAGGGAGAGCCCAGAGTTTAGGTGGGGCAGGCACACCTGAATGGAGAGAGCAGAGCCAAAGCTGCCTGTGACAGCCCCAGGCCCAGGGCAGGGCTTGGGACGGGAGCGCAGGGCAGGGGAGGCTCACTCCAAGAACAAACATTTTCTTCCCTGGCCTGGATCCAAAAGCATTTGGGGCGTGTGTCTGTCCCTCCCCAGGCTCACACAGGCCGAGCCAGCCTCTCTGCCAGGGCTCCATGGAGCAGGCACAGGGCCTGGCCCCCGTTCCCTCTGCACCTCCTCATCCTCCCGGAGTTTCAGCTGAAGTTACGCAAATCGTGATCTCTGCCCCTTCCTCTGCCCGCATGGAAAACACATTTCATAACACCCACCAGCAGAGAGGGCTTGGGAGGCTTAGAGCAGTGTTTATAATGTGCTTTGAGCTCAAAAGCTCTGAATGCAAAGCATGTTATTGTTAGATCAGCAGTGATAAACCTGTCTCTGGGGCTAATTGGGCAAACCCCAGGAAATGGCTGTAAACAGGAAGACTAAGCCTTGCCTCCCAAATCAAAACCCAGCACACAATTATTTGCAAAGCTCTTGGCTGGTTTGGCTGCCTCTGGACTTCCCCACAGCAGGAGAACAACAGACCCCAAGGGCTGCTGGAAGCAGGACAGGGGCCACGGCCTCTCCAGCTGATGGTCACCAGAGGGGCTGCAGGATCCAGCTCCCGCCCACTCGCTCCTCCTGGCTTTCCCAGGGCTCTTCCATCAAGCAGCACATCCTTTTGGAATACTCATCTGTCCCCAGGGGCCTCAGGCCAGGACCTGCAGGTGATGGTCCAGCCCCATTTGGCACCAGCTCCCCAGAGCTGTGACTTCCCTTGGGAATTTCTGCTATCAAATTCGGGGTGAAACAGCAGCTGCTCAAATTCTACAACTCCCTGAGTGAGTGGCTGAGGGTCACATTGCTCCCCCACCTCTGCAAATGACTGAACCAAAGGGATCTTACCGGGCTGCTGGGGCTGCAGTGCTTCCCCTGTGCCTGGGAAATGGGCTGGGATTTGGGAGAGGGATGGGAAACACACGGTGCAGGTTACCTATGCCAGCCACGCTGTCCCAGGCAATGTGCATGGCCAAATGGGCCATTTTGGGCCCAACTCCTGGCAGCTGCACCAGCTCCTCCACAGTGCTGGGGATGTCACCCCCGTACTTCTGCTTCAGGATGGCTGTGGTCTGCTTGATGTACTTCACCTTGTTCTGGAAAACCAAGGGGAAAGGCACACAATCCAAGCTGCCCTCCAGCACAGGGAAAACGGACACGCAGCCCAGAAAATCAACCCTTCCTGAGTGTGTGTCACAGGTGAGGCCACACATGGCAGCTGTGGAGGACACAGAGCCGTGACTTTGACATGAAATCAAAACTCGGAGAGCTGGGAGCTCCAACCTCCCTGCACACTCCAGGCCCTGCAGCCAACAATCTCATCCTGCTGGCAACACCAAGTGCCAAAAGCGGTGTAAAATCCAGCTTCTGGCCTGACTCCAGTGAGAGAGCTCCCCACGAGGAGGGCACAGGGGGTTCCCCCATGTCCCTGCACTCACCCTCCAGAAGCCCACGGGATAAATGATCTGGCCCAGGGTCTCATCATCCATCTGCAGCACGCTGTCCACGCTGAGGCCGCGCCGGCGCAGGCGCAGCATGGCAGCGCTCGTCACCTGGTCCTTGGTCTGGCTGGACAGCATCAGGGCCAGCAGCACCTGGTAGCGCATCACCTGGTGTCAGGTCGGACCCCAAATGAGCACACAGACATTTGGGAAGTTCAAAAGAGAAAAAAAAAACCCAGTTTTATTTTATTTAAACATCTGGTATTTATAGAATTCTAAACGTGATGTGGATCGGAGGATGGAATTACCACCTTTCCAACCACACTGGTCTAAGGATCAATCAATCAATCATTTCTCTCTACCCACAGAGAAATATGTAAACTGTTCTATTTACATATGAAATTGTGTGGGAACTTTGACTCTCAAATATGTAAATATTATTAGAAGGTTAAAGAAGTCTTATGAACTTTAGAACTTTCAAGAGAACTATAAAAGAAAACACTTTTAAAAATCAGGGCAACAACCTGGGGACACAGGGATGCCCTGGGGGGATCTGGGAGGATCCAGCACCTCTGGCACCACCCTCAGTGCAGGGTGTGCTCCCACCCTTCAGCCCTATCTGCCTCCAAGTTATCAGAAGGCTACAAAAGGAATAATCCATAACCTTTTAATTCCACCACACAACAAAGGGAGGAAAGAAACACCTTCAAGTTCAGTTGTCAGTACTTGTGAGAGGGCAGGGAGCTCTGCCTGCTGGCACCTCACTCCAAAGACAGCAGTGCTGAGCCACAAAGGGCTGGACAAAGCTTTTCCTGAGGATGGCATTCCCAGGAGGCCCACAGGATCCACAGGCACAAACACCCAATGATTTTTTGTGCATCTTTTGAAAGCTGCATCTTTAAGCAGCTTTTGAAAATCCCAACCCTTTCCCCCTAGGCTTCAGTAGGAACTGGGTGTCTGGCTCCAGTGAGCTCCTCAGGGAACCAACTCTGAACAACTGGGAAGACAGAGACTGGGAGAAGGAGGACAAAACCCAGGAATTCCTCTGCTGCTGCCACACAGGGTTTAGCCAGGCCATCACCTCCTATTTCCCAATTCTTTCTCTCCAGATGTGACTCCATCCCAGCAGAGTGACGAGGATGATGCAACTAACCCAAGATGACCCAGGATAACCTGGGACACCATCTTCCCTCCAGCTCTCTTGCAAAGTTTACAAAACCACAGGTGCACCAGGAAAAATCCCTGCGTGCGTGGAAGCAGGATAATCTCGGGGTACAAAGAAATGCTGTGAGGAGCTGAGAGTTACAACATCCACTTCTTGGAAGCACCAAGGCAGCTTCCCCAGGGAAGAGAAGCTATTTCCGTGTGCTCCCCTGGCCCCACAGCTGCCAACCCACGTGGCTGGGAGCGTGTGAGGCTCTCTGGCTCCGGGGTCACAGCTCATCCTTCTCCCCAGGGACCCAAGCCCAGGGCAGGATGCCAGCAGCAAGGACAGCGTTCCGTGTGCCAAGGCTGTCCAGCTGTGTCCTCCAGAGCCCTCCCTCAGAGCCCAGCACGTCCCACTGCTGCTCTGAGCCTGCCTCTGGATGATCCCCACATTCCCACTCCAGAGGCGCCTGCGTTGGGGTTGGATTAGCTGCTCTCCAAAGTCACTTCCAGCCCTATCAATTCTGGGATTCTGTGATCCTCACATTCCCACTCCAGTGGCTCCCACTGCTCCTCCAAGCCTGCCCCGTGTGCTCCCCACATTCCTCTGCATTCCACCTGGCTGGATACTTTCCTTGGAGTCCTACAGAGATTTTTAAGGAAGAAAAAAAAAGAATGTGGCTTCACACCCTGCCAGCCAGCTCCATAAAGCAGCGCTGCCCCTCACGTGGCACCAATCCCAGCCCAGAGTCCTGATCCAGTTTCTGTCCTGGAAATAACCCAAGTGGGACAGATCCAGGGGCAGCATGAGCATGAGGGAGGCTGTGCTTTGCTGTGCCTGCCGGAGCTGGCAGCAGGATGCTGTTCCTGGTGGGAATGCTGTTACCCATGGATGCTGTTTCCTCTGGGAATTCTGTTATCCATGGATGCTGTTCCCTCTGGGAATTCTGTTTCCTGTGGGAATGGTGTTACCTATGGATGCTGTTCCCTGTGGGAATGCTGTTACCCATGGATGCTGTTCCCTGTGGGAATGCTGTTACCTATGGATGCTGTTCACTCTGGGAATTCTGTTCCCTGTGGGAATGGTGTTACCTATGGATGCTGTTCCCTGTGGGAATGCTGTTACCCATGGATGCTGTTCCCTGTGGGAATGCTGTTACCCATGGATGCTGTTCCCTCTGGGAATGCTATTTCCTCTGGGAATGCTGTTCCCTCTGTGAATGCTGTTTCCTCTGGGAATGCTGTTACCCATGGATGTTGTTCCCTCTGGGAATGCTGTTACCCATGGATGCTATTCCCTCTGGTAATGCTGTTCCCTGTGGGAATGCTGTTACCCATGGATACTGTTTTCTCTGGGAATGCTGTTCCCTGTGGGAATGCTGTTACCTCTGGAGGTGCACTGCTGTCGTAGCACGTCTGCACTCCCATCTCATCCACGGGAGCATCCCTGCTGCTCCTCATGTCCCGGATGTGCTGCAGCTGCTCCCGCCAGCGCGGAGGCTCCCAGCGCGCCCGCCGGGGCTCGGCGCCCTCGCCCTGCCCTGCCTCATAGGCGATGGCCACGCTCTTCCTCCTCCTGCTCTGCCGTGGGACGCCGGGCCTGCCCTGCGTCTGGCTCCCTGCACGGCACGGCAGAGATTCCAGGCTGCAGGAAACTGCCTTCACCCCTCGGTGACAGCCCCGTGTGCCACCAGCCTCATGGGGACCCTGAGCAGGGCGAGTTCCCTGCCCTGAGTCCCAGCCCAAGCACTGAACATCCCCCAGTGCCAAGCAGAGCCAGCACGGGGCGAGGGAGGGCGGAAGGACCTGCGAGACAAGTGGCACCAGGTGCCAACAGTGGGGTCACCTGTCACACGATGGGGACAGTGTCCCAAACACAGCGAGGCTGCTGGAGGTGCATCCCCAGCCCAGCACAGCCACATCCCTCACTCCAAGGGGGATGTGACAAGGGCACCCAGCCCCTGTCCCAGCCAGGCTGCAGCCTGGTGCAGCCCCAGCTGCTCCCCGTGCCCAGCACAGCCCCGATCTCCCTTCCAGAGCAGCAACTCCCCCTCTGCCACACACCCCGTGTCCTCGATCCCCTCTTCCCATACCCGCAGGAAGCCGTGATCCATCTCTCATATCTCCATCCCCCGGGACCAAGAGATGTCCTGTATCCTCCCCCCTGTCCATACCCTCCATCCCCTGTCCCATACCCCATTCCCTGCCTGTACCCCATCCCCTGCCTACACCCCCAGTTTCCTGTCCTGTACCCCGATTACCTGCTCGTACCCCCAATCCCCTGTCCCATACCCCAATTCCATGTCCCATACCCCATCCCCTGCCCTGTCCCAAATCCCCTGTCCCGTACCCTATCTCGTATCCCAATTCCGTGTCCCATACCCCATCCCCTGCCCTGT